TTACCTGCTTGATTCTGATTTATTTGGTGATAATTAGCTCCCACAGTCTTTTTAATTTATTGAAGATGTATTTTCATCCATTTACCTCTGTTCCTTTTGTTCACACTCTTACCCTAGCTGGCACATATGCTGTGTGAATCTGTTAGACTGCTGACTAAACAGTGATGATGTATCAGGAAGGAGTAAATGATGTGGTATTTGTGATATTTCACCCTGGGGGTGTTTTTAGAACACAGGCCTGTTGGTCTATTATTGTCATGGGCTGAGCTGCCGTAAAGGAGAGCAAACGGGTCCAGCAGGTAAAGTGATAGAAGCATGAATGCAGAATAACAAAAGAGGATTCAGCACCTCCGCCCGTGAATGACACAAACATTTTTTATTTATTTTTTTATTTCTCAATTTCTCCTGAAACATCACATTTAATTTGTATGTCTCACTTTTCCTGATGACACATTGGTTTCCAAGTTTCCAAGTTTCATTTCCCTTTTTTAATGTTCGTTTTACTTTTGTCTTTGGTTTTCCTCATGTCCCTCTGTGCTTTTTCAAATTTTAATTTACCAGAAACTGGGATTTCAACACCCCGTGCTGTCTGAGTCATTTTAAGTGAAGACAGACCAAAAAAAAGTCCAGGCAGATATAAACATTTATTCCTCCTCAAAAAAAGGAACATTTTGTGAAACTCTGTGGATTTTTGTCACTGTATCAGGTTATACCAAAACTCACTCTAGTTTCATACAGAAAAATCTGAAAAATACAATTTTCAACAACAAAAGGAACCTAAAAATAACAGGTTGGTTCTCATACGACGATGGTGCTCTTTGTGGTCATCACAGATCCGGTGAACACAAAAACTAAACCCCTTTCACCAAACTATGGGGACCACATTTCTTGAGTGAGTATATTGGCTATGTGGCAGTGAACATCAATGCTGAGTGGACATCTAAATTTGTTTAAAAAATTCATTTTACAGATATAATTCAGCACATACTTCTGACAACAAGGGGATGTGAGGTGCGGAAAGTTAGGAAATGTGATAATGAAGCTCACAGCTCAGTGGAAACAATGTGGTGTGAGAATGTACTGAATAAATATCTTTTATATGTCTTTTAACTAAGAATCTTTCATCTGTTGTAGTAAATATTATTTTATTTTTTAACATTTTTTATATTTTAGCTAAATTAATTTAAAGTGAATTTCCCGCTCTCAAATGTACATTTCCATTCTCTTCTCACTGTGTTCCTCTGTTGTATTATAACTGGCAGAAATACAGAGAAATATCAGGATGGAAGAATAATCGTAGAGTATGGAAAACTCACATTTGGTACAAACTCAGTAAAACACACTTAAACCCTGACATCCCTCACAAAAACTACAATACTCCTTAAAAATATATAGATTCAGGCATATACTGTGGAATAACACTGCATTTTGTTACTGTACTGTATAGCAGATATAATGGCTTATAAGATACAAAACTTAAGCTTCAAGATCAACAAAGTATGGTACATGATCCCAAGTATCTCATTTCTGCCTACAACATCTCTAAAATCAGCAGATGCTTCTTTTATTTTCACCCATCTCAATCTGTAAACATGAAAAAGTTAAATACATCAACTTAGATGGAAGACACTGCAGAACCAACCATCCTTTTAGTAGTCTAATCTCATTACAATTAACCACAAGTGAAAATACAAGCAAACTAAGCGGACTAAAACTAGACTTTTTCAAAAAAAAAAAAAAAAAGCTTTAAAACTTGTATTTCTCCTTCATGTCTTTCCTCTGAACCAAAACAATTTAATAGAAAAAATGTTAGCCCTCATGTACAGTAAGCTGGAGGGGAAGGGAAGAGGGGGGTTTTCTCAGCATGTGAAACTTTCAGTTAACGCCAGCACAGGCAGAGAGCTGGGAAACAATGCAGGAGAGAATAACAGAAACTGGTGGTCGTTGTCAGATTCTGCATTATGTAAACAGATTAATTCTTCAGACTGTAAAGACAAAGCTAACACACAATAATACTCCAGATGTCACCTCCCAGCTCTCATCTTATTTTTTGTTATGCAAAAATGTATCATTGTTGCTAAAAAAACCAAACACATATATGATGGATTTAGCAGTATAGTTGATTTGCCTTTGTAAAACACTTTAGATAAATCCAGTGTTTGGGAAGTTTGTCAAAACTGCTAATAATTAATCAATAATTTAGGGTAGCCAATTCTGTTTTTTTTAACTTGTTATATAAATTTTTAAGTACCTTGTTTAATCTAATTTAACTGATGTCCTGTAACTCTGTTAACTTTATAATTTTGTTTGTTATTTGTGAATAACAGCAGGTGGAGCAGGAGCAGAACATTTGGTTTATTTTATGAATGTAATTGACAAATCATTTCCTAATGCTATCCTAATAAGTTTTCTAAAAATATCTATGTAATTTGGTGCTAATTACAGGGATAATAGAGATTGTGTTCAGTTACACTTCTAATTAATGAATTGCTAGCTTAACCTAGAGAGTCAATGCTAGCATATTAGCTGAACATGCAAAAAATGACAAGTCAAGCATACAGTTTAATATACTGAATATGGATAATAAAATTACTAATAATACATTAATAATAAATATCTATTTGGGTTTATGTTGTGTTATTTAGTTTTATTTAATATATGACTCAAACTATTTTCTTATGATTTAAATATCTAAAGTATTTGGGTTGTACACAGCAATTGTTTAAAATAAGGTTTCATGGGGGAAAAATATGCATTTTTCTAATTTCATAAGCTTTTAATGATTAATTGGTAACTGATCATTAACATGGCTTATGGGAATTGCTTAAAATTTGCATCCTTAGCACCTACACAAGAAAATTGACTTGGCTGTCATTCAGCATGCCTTGGGACACGTTTGTGTTCACACTACATGCGTGGTCACGTGTCCCTGCCCACTTTCAAATGCGACTTGAATGACTGCATCGTTTCCCTGCTGATAAAACACTGCTTTATGCTGCTATATGCAGCTCCCATTGGGCTTGATCCAAGGATTTGTTGCCCACACAGAGCCTCTGTCAATGGGCTCAGTTTATGGGTCACTCCCATGGATGAATGAGCCTGTGGCAGAAGTGAGCGTGTGCAGTAATGTGTGGGTGTATGTGTGTGTGTGTGTGTGTGTAACTGTGCTGTATCGTAATCCATCACCTGAATTTAGTCCCCAATAAAAGGGCATGTGCTAGACGTGTAAATGTCAGGTGTGTGCAAGTATGTCAGAATAGTTTTCTATATGTGTGAGTGTGGGTCAGACCTGGGTGCTGTAGGGGCGGGGTGGGGGAGGAAACATGTCCGAGGGACCGTAGTAACTCAGAGGGGAGGAGCCCTGCGGGTTGGCGGACAGTGGTAGAGAGACAGATGGGTTCTCGTAGTAGGTGTGGAAGCCCAGCCGCTCTCCTCCGTTACGCATGTTGTCTGTGAGTCCAGAGCGGAGGGAGTACGGGGAACAGGTGGGGCAGTGGTTGTGGTGAGAACCCGTGTCCAGTTGATCCAGAGAGACTGGGCTGATAGCCGCGCCGTCCATGGCGAGGGCGTTGCAGGCATTGCAGGGAAAGTGAGAGAGGGGGTCCGCTCCCACCACGGAACCCATGTCCACCTCAGAATCATTCTTCTTACAGCAGTAATACTGCAGATGGTAGACAAGGAAGACACCGGGGGGGAGAGAGATTGAGAGAGGGGTGTTGAGGGTTTAGTACTTACTGTACTTTAAAACATATTATATTGTGATCAAGGCTATTGAAGGAATATTTTGATACTGTGGGAATTAATCTTATTTGCTTTCTTGCCAAGAATTATTTGAGAGGATTAATACCACTCTCTTGTCTGTCATACCAGTAAGACTGCCAGGTAACCACCAGGCGTTGTTCTTCAAAAGATAGTTACACAACCAAACTCCATCTAAAACCATTAATGGTCATTTTTACATTTCTGTTTGTGTAACATTTAAACAAACAAGATAAAAGATTTTTATACAGAGGAGTAGGCAGATGTTTTAACCACTGCTTCCAGTCTTTGGCCATTGCGGTCCGTATTTTTTGTCCAAAATTGCCGCACATTTGTCCGTCATTATAATTCTTTGTACAGGTCTGCCTCTTGTAGCCACAGTGCTTAATGTAGGATGCAGTGGCAACAGCCTGCAGAGGAACCACTAGTTTCGAGGAGCAAGGGAGGAAATGAGAGAGAGACAGATTGACAGCAGCGAGCAGTAGCTCCTTTATCAGCAAGTGAAATGTTCCCTATTCTTTCGCAACTTGGACCCAATTCCTTTTTCAACTCTCAAGTGAGAAGACCACAAAATCATCTTCACTGCGCGATGAGTCTGTGTCGTATTGTGAGTAACGAAATTAATCGGATGACGGATTAAAAAAACACATACAAACAAATTCAGACTTGATGTGCAAAGGCCTTTACTGCTAGGCTAAGCTAATCACCTCTTGGCTCTAGTAGTACTGTTTTTGTTTGTATAAATGCTTAAAAGGAACGAGCTGGTAGCAAAAGTGTATTTATAGTGTATATGATGCACACAAATACAGCTATATATA